CCCCGTGGGGGCTTCTCTGTCCTCTCAGGGCTGTTCTGTCGCCGGTCCCATCGCGTGATGCCGTCTCCTCCCCATCTTTCGGTCCCTTGTCCCTCCCTGAGGCCCTCGGCGTCCCCTCCCAGGGGTGGCAGGTGCTCTTTGAAAAAATAAACCCACAGAATTCGGCCCAATGTGGAAAAGCTGTTGTGCCAGGCACCCTGAGGCTGTGAGAGCGGACAGGTGAGGGATGCGGACCCTACCTGGCGCAGGGGAGGTGTGATGTCATTTTCCTGGCACACGGAGCCCGGCACCTGCTTCGTGTTGCGACGGTGGCTTCGTTAAGGCAGGAACGCGCCTTTTGTAAAAATGCCTTAAAATGCAAGTCGAAGGGCACCATTTCGGTTTTCTTAGCTTCCTGAATTTAATGCTCTCCCCAGGAAAAAAACAAACTCCAGAGATTTAATTTCTGGCTCACTCCTTTCCTTTTCAGCTCCAGCTGGAAGCCAAGAGGACTGTGGGCTTGGTTAGTTCTGATGAAGCCATCCAAAGTGAATTGGGGGCTGTCATAATAATAATAATATTGTATCGAAGGTTTTTTTGCTTAATTTGTTGAAATTGTTGTTTGGGGTTTTTTTTGTTGGTTGTTTTTTTTTTTTTTTCAGCTGTTTTGTCCCAACGTCATAGCTGGTGCTTTAAAAAATATATTGGGTATGGGGGAGGGTAAACTACTAGTGCACCAGTGGCTTAGGTTTCTGTCTGTGGCTTCCTGTTTGTTTTGTTTTTTTTTTATTCTTATACTGAGAGTGATTATCAATGTGTTTATAGTGTTTCCTCTTTGGTTTTGTCCTGTCAGAATCAAAGCAGGAGGGCTCCAAAGCGAATTCTACCTGAGGGCCCGTAGATGAGCTTTCTGCTCCTTGGAAATCTGCTCTCTTCTTTCATTTTTGCAGGAATTCACACTTCCTGTCTGCACGATCTGTGCTCAGAGCTGCTGTTGTGTGTTTGGGAATCGAGGTGTGGGGGAGGGAAGGAGTGGGAAGGGGAAATAGTGTTCCTGATAATACACTTGATAACCCAGATTGAACTCTAGTAATTTTTTTTTTATTCTATATAGCTTGTGGTTAGTGTATTGAAAGGTGGTTTTGTTTGTTTTTTGTTTTTTTTAAACAGATTAATATATGTTTCTCCTAAAAATATATGAAGAAGGAGATCTTAGACTTTTTAATGTTAAGGTTATGGGGGGAAAAAATTGAGTTAAAACCAGCAATAGTGAAATATTGCTGCTTCTATAGCTCTTTCTAAGGCCCAAATTAACCAATAAAATACAAACTGAAGAGTGACTTTGGTTGTACCTGTTTACCCTTGCTTCCGTAGATGACTATCATGACCTTTCCTACAAGGCTGCTTGAACTTACTGCTTGGAGAAATTTCAAAGAGCGTTCCTGTGAGTTTTGAGAACTCAAAATCGGCTGGAGAAGGAGGACTCGGTGCTCCTGCAGCAGTGGGGGCTCTACGGCGGGGGGCACAGGTGGTTCAGTTGCTCCGTAAAGGGTGTAAACAGGAGAGGGGAAGGTGTTGTGGGATGGGAAGGTGAGGAGAAACCAGCAAGTATGGCCTGAGGAAGGATTATTTGTCTGATGCTATCATATTTCACCACAAACCTAGGAAATGAGGTCTCTATAGGTTTGCTGCTTATCAAACACCTTCCCAAGGAGCTGCCTCTGTCTCCCCCTTTCCCCGCCAGCCACCTTCTTTGCCCATAGGGACTTTTGCTGCCTCTGATCAAGGAAAAATCTATGCGCTACATTCACAGCTCTTATTTAGCTGTGGGGAGCTTTTGTCCTCTAAGTTAATTGAAAATGACTTGCTGTAATTAATTCTTGGAGCTGTGCTATTCATCCCTTTTGGTTTGGGTATATGTGCTAACCTCTTTCAAAACCACAACTGGTTGCGGGCTGGGAAGTGGGTGGGTGAAGGGAACCTGCCCATATGATTATCCTTCTGCTTTCTCCTGTCTCTCGTCAGCGTCCTGCATCTTCATTAATCTTCTAGCAACTGGTTTAAAGGAAGCTCACTGACTAAATCTTCCTCCCTTCCCATTCTCTCTCCTTAATTGCTGTGAGTTTACTTTTTTCTTTGAGACAGGCTTGGAGGCACAAGACATCCACCTTTTGTTCAGTCCTCATTGGTAAACGGTGGGAACAATTAGTCATTGTTCTGTATTTTCTGCCTTTCATCCTTTTTGTCCACTCTAAATTTCCTTTTGTCTATCCACATCTGCCTTGAGTCTTCTAAAGGAGTCTGGCTTGTGCTGAAAGCTGTGGCAGAGCGGTTGTCTCCAACAAAACCACTTCTCTTTAGAGCAAATATTAGGATTTTGGACCTTGGTTGTAGCAATGGTTTTACATGCTTGTCCTGGGTAGCTTTATAGAAGAGTGGCAAGAATGTGCTACAAACAGAAGGGCATGAAAATAAGGTGTGATCAGTACAGGAGCTGAGTGTTTATTGCATGTGGCAGCAGAGGAGGTTTTAGTGGGAGTCTGAGGGTCAGATGCCGGCTTAGCAGCTGGTGGGAGAGAAGAGTGATTAGGATCCTGATCCTTAATCAAAAACCTCGTCCCAAAGATTCTCAGCTTTGCAGGAAAGTCAGAGTAGGTAGCACGTACCCTCTTGCTTTCCCTCAGTAAGTCCTCGCTCTGAAGCCTAAGCTCAAGCTGTTGGTTGCTGGCTTGTTAATTAGCCCTGTGGGATTGCTGACGAGACTCCCCTTCCCCGGACGTGCTCAGTGTAGCCTCGCTTTTCCCATCTCCAGTAAAGATGGAGGAGTGTTTGTACACAAACTGTTCTGGGGCTGTGATTGTCGTGAGTGTACCTGGGAGAGGGGGATGCTTTGTGGCTGTTACAAAGGCACTGTTAGAACATGGCATGGAGGAAAAACTTGAATTGATTCTCCAGGAGCTGCGTGTTCAGGCCCTTTTCACTGTACTCTCATTTTATTTTACTAATTAACAGGCTCACTGTCAGCGCACAACTGTAGTGTGCATAGCTTCCTACTTGCTAGCAAGGTGCCTGGTTGGTTTTGGGGCTTTTTTGGAGTGCCTCTCAGTGCTTTTTTAAAATTTTTTTGACATTTAAGATGCATTTCAAGAGGAAATTCTCATGGTAATTAGAGACCAATAACTTGCTCCGGTAATTCAACTTTTTCTTATTAAGACTTTTTAAGTGATTTTTTTTTTTTCAAGAATAAAAATGGGAAAGTAAAGTCTAGGAATTGGCCACAAGCAGGAAGAGAAATTCTTCAAAATTACATGTATGCATTGCAAGCTCTAACTTTAAAACATAGGAGATAAAATTGTGAATTATTCAAACAGTTGATTCTGGGTAGGCTGGGGCACGAAACCCATCTTGGTACAACCAAGACTACTGAGAGCATGTAAATGAGTCAGTGAAATGAGGGAAGCTCTGAAATAACACTGTGCTTAGTGCCGGTTCTAAGGCATTAAACTAGATTAATGCCATCAGGATAGTCTTGAAGCTCATACTTCATGGCATTACTCTGTGTGGTGATCAATAAGCTGTATTGCTGTCTGTGTTTGTCGTCATGGAAGAAAGGATATCGCTGTTCTGTGGTTACACATTTTAACTTTCAGATGTCAGAAATCAGATTTGACCATTAAGACTTGCTTTGTATAATTTGGACCTTCCCTGTGTTAGATACCTCCCAGTTCATAAATGTAGGTATTCTGAATGATGTAGGATTTTTTTTTTTAAACGGCTGGACTACACATATTTGGGTGGTCTAATGATTTTAAAATGGATGGTTTTTATTCTGCGTGGGGTCATAATGAGAGAAATGCAGAAAGAAGGCAGTCTCGCCCTTCCTCGTTGCTACACTTCCCCCTCCCTACCTCCCTGAGCTGGCACGATATTCATGCCGTTATGCAGGGAATGGATCCAGGGTGGCGGGGGGTGGAATTTGTTATTGATCAGAGTCGCTGCAGCTGCATAAATGTTTTTCCTGACACAAGGAACAGGCCAGCACATTAGCGGGAGCAGTCTGGGAATGTCAGACCTGTCTCCTTCAGCAGGTGTGTTGTAAAGCATTACTACAGTAGGTTCAATCCAGTTTATTTACAAAGACATGCGGAAATTACTGTAAAAAAAAAAGCAGTTATGTAAGGTTTTTTTTGTTTCTTGTTTTGTCCTGGGCCAAGATAAGAGGTGGCTCCAGGGGAGCCCTGCAGCACCCAGCCTGGTGCCTTCCACCCCCCTGGGTTCCTCTGTGCCCATCTCAGATTTATTCATAGGTACATTTTATATATGTGCATTTCTATATATATATGGATATATGTGTGTGTATCACATAGATATATGAATGCATACATTAAAAGAGACATAAATCAACAAGAACAGCAAGGAACAACCCAAAAAGGTTACCAAAAAAGACAGCACCAACTGGAAGAACCAGACAAAGGGATCATGAATCAGAAATTTTCTTTTTGAGGGACTTTGTATCTTAAGGTGGGGGGCATACCCTGTTTGGGCATTTTCTAGCTGCTGGTAGGGCTGTGATGGGGTTCAGAGATGGTGGGTGGTGGGGAGGTGACTTTGGGTGTGGCTGTGGGGAGCTTCTGGCTGCCTGCAGGATGATGATGGGGTATGGAGGTGGTGGGTGGTGTGGTGCTGCCTTTGCCCACGGCTGTGGAGAGCACCCAGCTGCCCGTAGGTACGTGATGGGCTTGGTAGGATATGGAGATGGCTGGTGGCACAGTGCTGCCTTTGTCCAGGACTGTGGATGAGGACTGTACCTAAAAATGTTCTTTCAGCCCCCTTCCTCTGCCTTTACGGCCTCCCTACCAGAAGCAGCTGACTGTTACAGGGGTGGTGTGGCTTATTGAGGAACCAGAATTTAGGAACAAAATGCCAACATGACAAACTCAGTGTGAATATACCGCCAGGGGTTGGTAGGGACAAGGGATGTTCTGTAGGGAACCTTGTACCCCTCAAGTATGGTCCCTGCAGCTGTAGGTAGAGGCTGTGGTTTGCTCTACCATCACCTTTCCCTCTCCCGCTGCACTAGCCTGAGTAACTGCTCACCTGCAGCTGCCCAACTAAGTTTCTCCTAAAAATGTTGCTGTGGTTCCTGACTAGAAAGCAAAAATTTATTGCATAAAAAGAGGAAATGAGAACCCACGATTTCTAAGAGAAATTGTAAATGAGAACTTGGTGCAAGTGCCACTGCTAGTCTTAAGATGTGTATATAAGGTGATTAGCCGCAGCCAATGTTCTGTTTTTCTCCTTTTAGGAGTTCTTGCAAATAGATACTCGAGTGTGTTTGGATTTTAGGGACTCATCCTGACTTTTTTTTTTTTTTTTTTTTTTTTTTTGAAAAAAGCTTGAAACAATTGCTGATTATAAACCAAAGGCTGGCTGGCGAAGCTTGATGCACTTCATTTGTGGCTGTCAAATTTGCTGAATTCTAAGCAAATTTGAGACCTTTTGTTTTTTTTCCCCCTTCTTCCGGGCTACATCTGCAAAGAGTGTCTACAGAACAAAAACTGATTGCTATGGGAGTTGTAAAGTGCCACTTATTTTGACAGGGTATTAGCTTTGAAACCTAACTCTGGCAGCAAGTAGACATTATTGACGTGATTGGGAGTGAAAGAACCAGTGAGAAATACTCGGTTAATGCCCTTGTACTTGAGTTCTTCAGTTGTTTCAGATAATGTGTCTTGATGAGCTACAAAAAAAGGTGTGATTCTGTCTCAGCAGGCAATTGCACAGAACATGGAAAACTGAAGATAAAGAAAGATAATCCTGAATTCAGCAGAGTATATATATTTTTTTTTAAACAAAACCTCAAGGGTTTCTTAAACATGTTGATGTTGCAGAGTCTCAGCTGCTGCATTGAACTGCTGCAGGACATGACCCCACTGTTCTGTCTTATATCTGCTTCTGACAGTAAGTTTTTATACATAGTTTAAACAATACTTCACATCCCCAGCAGGCTCATCTCCTTCCCTGTGCGTAAAAGCCATTATAACCACTTTAAAATTTAACTCCCCAGGACCACTAATACAGCTTATGTAAAGTTCCTGATTGAGAAGTAGTCAGAAACAACACAGGTAACTTGCAAAAAGACAATTTGGAAGTAATACTAGCTTTCTAGAGATGGCGTATATATATATTAGTGTAATTATTTTATTTTACACTAATGCAGGACTCATTTTTTTCTCATGTAAGTGCAGAACTGTGTTCAGACTCTTGCCCATGCAGTGGCCTGCCTGTCTCTCTCTCCTGAATGTTTTTTGTTTCTGTTTCTTTGTGACAGTGAATCTGAAGTGCTGAAGGAGAGGTTCTGAAAGCCTCATTCTCTCTCCTCCCAGCTTGCTGGTAATGCAAAACCCCACTCTCTGAGAATGAGAGGACTCCTTGAATGTACTTGGTTGAGTCTCCTGAAATGGGATAGGAAAACATTGCCTGACCTCTGGTTGCTCTTTACTTCCCACGTATCAAATGACAAGCCTCAAAGCTATTTAAAAATTAGAATGCTTCACAAATTTACATCTTAAAATGGTAGATTAATGTCGCTGAGGGCACTCACATCGGGTTTGTAGGTGCTGCCAGACTGGGAAGTAGACAGTTGAGGGCAGAGCTGCTATTCAGGGGGAAGTAGACAGACTTGGAATGGACCAGCAGGGACATTAGCTTAAAGTCAATGAGGACAAACTGTGCTGAAGAAAGAGGAACCCGCTGTGGCAGTGCAAGCTGGGGCTGGGCTCTGCTGAAAAGGCCCTGGGAGCCTCTGGAGGCAGCCTGCCCTGACAGCGGAGCCTGGGCCATTGTGGGGCAGGAATTATCTCCCTTTACTCAGCATTTGTTAGCCTGCATCCAGATGCAGCCTCTGGTTTTGGGCCCCCCAGTACAAGATAGCTATGGACAAACTGGTGGAAGGTCAGCAGAGGGGCTCCAGGATGGCTGGAGGCTGGAGCACTCTCCCTGTGAGGTGAGACTGAGGGAGCTGGTGCTGTTTTTCCTGCTTATTCTCTCCTTGCAGGACCAACGGGGAAAAAAGAAGGTGAGAGCCGCAGTCAGCCCAGTCACCAGCCAGAGACACCTCTTTGCTGTCCCTTTTCTGTCCCCAACAGTGTACATTCAGGTAGCACGCACCTCTCCTTCCAGGGCCCTCCTGGCCACTGTCACCTTATCTGCCGCCTCCTTGTGTGCTGGTGGCAGTGGCCAGAACCCCTTCCCCACCCAGAGCAGGACAAGCAGCGTCTGTTGCTTCTTGATTGCCACGTGTCCTGCCTCCTGACCTATATGTATATATGTATGTGTGTGTGTGTGTGCGCATAAGGGGTGGGGCCCTATGGCGTGGTGGCTGCTTGTCAGATGTGTGGAAAGCTGTTTGGCTGGCAGCAGAGGTCTTTATGTCCCTGTAGGATGTGGGTCTCGCCTCCATCCCCAGTGTTGCCCTCTTCCCTGCCATCTTTGCCTTTGGGAGGTTGGTCCCTGTGGGCTTGAAGGACCCAGCTCTCTGCCAAATGGTTTTCCCACCAGTAAGTAATTCTGTGAAAACCAGTAGCAGTGTAGGGCTCAGAGGCTTTGAAGGGTCCGTCTCTCCCTTCTTTGGGGAGAGTCATTGCGGCTTCTGACAGACATCCTGCCTGGTGCTGAGCTCAGGCCTGTGCACACACATTCCTGTTGCAGCAGGCAGAGCCTGCCAAAGCCATGGTACTGAAGTGGACTCAGCCTCTCCTTTTTCCTGTTCCCTAACCACTTCCTAGTGTGGGATAGCAACTGCAGCCTAGTTACTGGGTGTTGTGGTTTTAA